CTGGGCAACTTTTCAACCGTTTCAGGTGTGTTTCAAAACATTCAAATTATTTTCAGATTTCAAGTAATTTTAGGGAGATTTTGTGACCTTTTGTACAAATCCATTTTATACCCATTTCAAAGCATTTCAGACAGTTTCTAATTCAAATAATGTAGCTGCAGGTTCACTGATCTGTACATCTGGTCTACAGTGGTTCAACCTGCTTTGATAGAGCAACACAACCAAGCTATATATACATGTGTATATATATGAATTTGGTCTGAAATGACTTACAAATGGTACAAAAGGACACAAATTTGCCCAAAATGATCAATCAAAACAGTTTGAAATGCTTTGAAACTTGCCCTAAACTACTTAATAAATTGTACTAAATGGCTCAAAACTTGTCCAAAATATGTCTAAAGTCTATTAAAAACGGTGCAAAAATGCTTTGAAATGGGTCCAGAAGGGTTCAGAAATGTGGCTCAAAGGGATTCAAACTTAACTCAAAACTTTCATAAAATGACTGAAATTTGTTTTTAAAAAACAAACAAAAAAACTGCATCTTGAAATGCGTTGTAAATAAATTAAAAACTGTCAAACATGACAAACAAAAATTGCCCAAAACACCTTAAAACCCATCGCAGCTGTTTGAAATGCTCTGAAACTTGCACAGAATGACTTTCAAATTGTCTAAAAGGATTCCGAACTGCACAAAATGACTGAACTTGGTTTGTGTTGTTCTGTCAGAGCTGGTTGAACCACTGAGGACCAGATGTCCAGATCAGTGGACCTGCAGCGACGTCAGCTGAGTCTGAAACCGTCTGAAAGGCTTTGAAATGGGTCTAAAATGGTTTAACGTTTACCAGAGGTCACAACATTTTCCAACATGACTTGAAATCTGTCCAACATCAGTTGAAAATGATTTGAATGCTTTGAAACTTGTTTTTTTTTTTTGTTTGTTTTTTTTAAAAAAGGGTCTACCAGGACTCACAACTGCCCAAGTGACTCAAAAATTGTCCAAAAGGATCCAAACGGGTCCAAATCAGCTCAAAGTGTGTCCAAAATTAGTTTAAAAATGGTCTAAAGTGTTTTTAAAATGTCCAGAATGACTTAAAATGTCTTAAAATACGTCTGAAATGAACTGAAGATGGTCAAGAATGATTCCAAATCACCTAAAGAGCTCCAAAATTACAAAAAAATACATAAATTACTAAAAAAAAAAAAAATCAAAAAGTGCAAAATCATTTAAAACTTGGTTTGTCTTGTTGACAGCAGGTTGAAGCACCGAAGACCAGATGTTCTGATCCGTGACCCTGAACCAGGTTCTGCTCTGGTTGTTCTGG